ATTCTTCTTCTCCAACAATAGGATCATTTGGAAAATATTCATATAAAATTTTGCTTATCACTGCTTGAGCACTAAAATTAGCAACTTTTGATATAATTGAATTAGAAAAAAAAATTAATGTGGAAAAAATATATAAACAAGAATGTAAAGATTTTTTTTCTAAATACCTGTAACAGGTGATCTATCCTTCTTAATAACAGTATCACTTGTCGCAAGGTTTTGAAAAACTTTTTGACAAATTTTGCTTGCCCTTAAGACTGAATCAATGGCAACAGCTCGTTCAATTGCTAGTGCTATTAATCAGAAAGTAAATTATAATCTTTTAAAATAACAAAATAAAAGGTTTTTTGAAAAATATACCTGATATAAGCTCTATAATTCGAAAAATGGTAAAAAATATTTGTGAAATAACTTTGTAGAGCATAAATTTACCAAATATTTTTTTTTAAAAAAAAATTCATCTGATGCAGTATAAAATTAGTTTATTTAATAAAAATTTTATCGAGAAAATTTAATTCATAAACTAAATAATCAAATTAAATTGCAAAATTATTACACTTTAAAAGTGAAAACAATACACTTTATAGAATACAATTCACTTTAATATGAGCTTCCTTTTAAATATAAATACATGATAAACTATAGCATCTTCTCGAATAAAATTAAGTGAGATTAGAAAAATTCAATCCAATAGAATTTGGTTGTTTCTATTTTATTAAAGTTAATAATTCGTTCATTAACCAATTTAATACAGTAATTGAAAAAACTTTGTTTTGTTTGTTATAAACTTTAATCCAATTACTGTTGAAACTATATCATTTTTCGTTTAAACATTAAGTTTAGTATAAATTATTTTGAATTAAAAATTTTTAATTAGATTTTAGCTATTCATTTTTTAATAGAATAAACTATTACTGTAAAAAAAAAACAGAATTATTTAGGACTGTTAAACATGCTGGGGTATCCAATATACTGTGTAGATCAATTATATTGAAAGAGTCAATAGAAAAGGGACAATCATTTTTAGTAGTTTTTTTTAATTTTTATATTAAAATTTTTGGATCAAATATAGTATAGGTGACACCTACTCGAAATCAATTGATTATTTATTAAGGTGTCACCTATACTATATTTGATTCAGTTAAGAAAACTTTTACTTAGAAAAAATTTGTTTTTTTATATTGAATATGTTGTCACAATTGGAAGATTGGAAAGGGTATTGACTGAATTGGGCGACTGCTATCAATAGAAATCAAGCAGATTAATATTTTAAAAAATTAATCCCTTAACTTTTACAACTTATGTTGCAATGAATTTTGAGGCTATTATTATAAACTAATATTCAAAAGAAAGTCTAGATTCTCAGTTTTCTTTTGAATATTAATTTATAAAGATAGCCTCAAAATTCATTGTGATATAAGTTGTAAAAGTTAAGGGATTAATTTTTTTAAAATGTTAATCTGTTTGATAAAATGCTTTTCTTGGAAATTACGTGAATATTTCAATTATTTTGAAGGAAGTGGTTGAGCAATTTACAGTTTTCAGAGTTTAGAATTATATTTGGAACCGCTTTTAAAAATTACACAAAAAAACTTCCTATTTGGAAATTACGATTAAAAAAGTTAAATTCGGACTTAGAGTCGGGAAATGACTTTTGGGCTATGTCCATCAATAA